GACTTTTCAAATATTTGGATAGTCATAATATGTTGCTATGCAATGTTCTTGACCTTCAAAAATTAATTAATTAATTAATTACTTAATTAATATTTATTGCCCACATATTTGGAACCTAATAGGTCACACATATAAAAATGGTAATGAGAAAGTAAAAACGAGAAATCAAATCAAGTATAACTTGATTACAAATAAGTTTGGGACTTTAAGAACATAATTATAATTTATATTTAATTACAATTTTACTTAAATTATTAAGTATAGACTTAATAATTTTTGTCTAAAATTTATTAAATTATATAAACCTAATATTTTAATTATGATTTATTTATTTAAATAAATAAATAAATAAAGTTGATTAAATTGAAAATCTTATTACTATAATTTCTTTAAAAATTATTAAGTTAATAGACCTTCAGATAATGTTTGTCTTAAAATTTAAATTAAATTATATAAACCTCATATTTTAAAATTATGATTTATTATTTAAAATAAATAAATAAATAAAGGTTTGATTAAAATTGAAAATTCTTTATTACTATATGTATTTATGAATTTTATTTATTTAAAATTTTTTAAATAATAAAAAAGGCACAAATATTATTTTAGTTATGATTTTATTTATTTTAAAAATTTTAAATAAATATTATAATTTCAATTTTATTTATGAACCCTAAGCGTTTTTCATATATAAGGTTAAGAGACAGTTTTAAAAACCATGGTTATTGTTCATGCTTGACAAGCCATAAAACAAATATAAAACGGTAAGATTAGCTTTAAACCAATTATAACTCTCTATTCTCTAACCCTCTAAAATAGTTTTTTAAAGTTTTTTATTATCTATTCGTGGTGAATACTATTAGATGTCGGACAATTAGAACAGTTTGGTGCTTTGGCTACAAATTTAAACCGCGTGGATTAAAGTTTCAAAAATCTGCAAAATGAGGTATTAGTATTCTTATAAGCAATTTTATTTCTTTTAATCACGTTTAAGAATAAATAATTATAATTTATTTATTTATGACCTAGAGTTTTCATATATAAGGTTAAGAGACAGTTTAAAAACTATGGTTATTGTTCATAGCCATAAAACAAAATATAAAACGTAAGATAGCTAGAACCATTATACTCTCTATTCTCTTAACCCTCTAAAATAGTTTTTAAATTTTTTTATTATCTATTCGTGTGAATACTATTAGATGTCGGACAATTAAACAGTTTGTGCTTTGCTACAATTTAACCGCGTGGATTAAAGTTTCAAAAAATCTGCAAATGAGGTATATATTCTTATAAGCAATTTTATTTCTTTAATCGTTTAAATAAATTTCTATTTGAATAATTATTTTATTTCGCTATATTCAAAACCCAATACGATTGACTGCTATTAGAACAGACATTATTGTGAAACAATGCCATAAAATATTAGATCATTAAATGAGTGTACCTTAAGCCCTTTACTAATTAAAACCGCAATAAATATAGTAGTCACGGTCACTTTGTGGTAAGTACGCCTCACTTCGTGACTAAGTACACCTAACTTTGTGGTAAGTAGCGCCAACCACGATTGTAATAAGGGGGAGCATGTGCACAAGTATTTGGTGATTACCAAATTTACTCATACTGTGGCTTAGCTGTTGACTTAAATTTTGATGCTGAGTGCCTTAAGGGTAGAATCTTGTAATAATGTGTTTTGAATGACAGGTATTACTTTGTTGGTCACACGCTTTTGGTAGAAAATATTCTTAATAGTACAACTTTTAGCTATTATTTTCTTTATTATTTATTTATTGAAATAATGTTTAATTTATAGCCTCAACTTGTTCATTATGTTCTTAATATCAAGTTTTTAAATCGATTTTAATATGAACTTTCAATAGAAAGATGAACTTGGCTCATTTTTATCTGATTAACACCTGTAAGAGACAGATAAAAAAAAAAATAGATGATCTATTTTTTCTGAGTTAAAAAACATTATTTATTTCATTTAGTAACTTGATTAATATAATTGTTACTTTCAAAAATTATCCAACTAATTTTCTAATTCAAAATTTTTATCAAAATCAATCCAAAAGCTCACGTTTTGATGATTTGTATGGCATGCTCAAAGGGACTTTTCCTTATCATGCTGATAGGTCTTTTCTGCAATATTAATTGTTTTAGTAATATTTTTATTTTAGTAGTTGTTAACTGTTGTAGTAGATGTTAGTTGTTATACTAATTATTAGTTAATCGCTATTAACTTTTAGTTGGTTGCTATTTACATTGCAGTGTTTAGAAAAATAACTATTTAATTAGTTATTTAATTTAGAATGATAAAAGAGGACATTAGTTGTTTAATTAGTTGAACTTGGAGGAAAAAAAATAATGGGTATAATTATAAAAAAAATTAATTGAAAGCTAAATATTAGAGCACTTAACATTTCATAAAAAGCTTCCTTAACTTTTAGAAGCTATTATAAAAGTTCTGTTATAGAATGCTAATAGGATTAAAGTTCTGACTTGTTAAAATGCTAAAAAATAAATAATATATATGAAGTATATTGTATCTCTCTCTTTATCTTGATTAATGGTTTTGAGTTTATAAATATATATTAATTTGATAAAATTAACCTCTATTATTGGGTTATCACTTATGAAATCTATGTATTTTTTATGTTGAATAAGTTAAAACTATAATTCATATTTCTAAATTTATTACATTACAAGAAGTGATGTTTTTATGAATTTTGAATTTATATTCATAAGTGTTGGAAAAGTTTAATCTGAGTGTTCTTGGTATAGGATGAAAATGAATAAAAAGTCAATTATGTTAAACTAAATCAATTATTAATTTATAAAAATCAAAACAAGTTAAAAAGTTAAATTGGTTTAAAAAGTGAAATCGAATCTTTTTAATCATTTTATATAAATTCAAGAGCTAAATTGGCCCAAAAGGTCAAATCAGACCTTTTTGGTCCTGCTAAACAAATTGACATTTATTCCTTTTTATATGACTAATCAAGCTATTTATAAATTTATAATAAATTTATAAATAATTAAAAAAAATTAAAGAATTTGTAGCGAATCACGAAATTTAAGGTATTTTTGTTTATGACGTAGGTATGAGGCCTTAAAAAAATGCATACTAAAATACAAAGTAAATACTAAACCTGTTGTTACTCTTTTCTTCTGACCACCAGATATTCCTCGTAGCATTTCATCTCCTACAATGGTGTCTTTGCATATATCAAGTCCTAATATCTGTTACATTAACAGAAATAAAATTAAAAATTGATGATAATAATAATAAAGTGATTGTGAGGTCCAAAATTGGAAATGCAATATTTACTTCACAACTTTGGAAATTCTTCAACTTACCTTTAGAGTATAGTCTGTAATAAGATTGCTTTTCACTCCTTCCATTGCAGTTGCCTGGAAAATTACAGATAATTATGGATTATTCAAATTATATTTCAATAATAACATGAAAATGAGGTAACTTTGTCTTTTGCTTTTGCTTGATATTTTGAAAAAAAAAAAAACAAATGCTTTTTGTATTTAATTTTTTTTATGATTTTAATTTATTTGGCATTTCTTAATTGAATAATCCAAATAATAATCCTTAAAGTTTGATATAGCAATAATTACTTTGCAACGCTTATTTGGATTATGCGGTTTGTGATATAAATGTGGGTGTTCGGTCGGTTGTAATTGAATTTATGTGGCTTATTAATGCTTTTGAAAAACTGATCCTTTTTTCTATAAATGAAAAGTGCCACATTTATTTTCTTATGGTTGTCTACTTTTCTCTATTAGCATGTTTTATCAAATTTATCAATTGCTGGTAATTTGTGTTTATGAAGTAATGATATGACTAAGACCTACACATGTATATCTACATCTTCAGTCATGTGACTTTGAACTAAGAATTTTAGGCGCCGCCTTAATCTGTTCGCTCTCACGTGAAAGCAACAAGCAAAAAAAATATTTTCGAATAATTTACTGCTGACCTACAACCTGATCTTCTTTCATTCTCTCTGGACCAAAGGAAAAATAAAAAAATAAAAAAAATAAAATAAAAAAAATAAAAAAATTAAACCCTACACTTTTACCAAATATGATCAATTTAGTCTAAAATTAACCTTTGGATTAATTTAAAACCACTCGATACATAAATTCACTATTGAATTTTTCATAAAAGAATTTATAACATTTCAAAATTTTTATTTTAACCTATTGAATACTTTAAATTATAAAATTGCATTCATTGAATATCTTAATTTGTAAAATTGGCTCAATTAAATGTTTATTAGATAGTTGTTGTATAAATCATATCTTAAATCAATATATTTGCATGCCAAAAGTCTTAAATAGTATTGATCCTAATGTGAGGAGTTGTGTGATTATTATAAAAAGTAAAGTTGAAAGTATCGTAAGGTCAATTTTTAAGTTTAGGTCAATTTTGAAAGTATTATAAGGCCGATTTTTAAGTTTAAAATGCCACAATTTTTTTTTTGTCAAAATCCAAATGTTAATTTATACATTCAACCAATTTTAAATATAAACTTTGACTTTATGTTATTTACCTATTTTTGCAAAAAATAAGTATTGAGTTTTATTTAAAACAATTATAAAAAAACTTACAAAAATTATGAAACTTTAAAACCGTTAAAACCGTTGGTTTTGATTTCAAAATTTATTCTTCATCTTAGACAACGAGATTGTTATTTATATATTTATTTATTTATTGAGCTTTTATATATTTTTTGTTAATTTAAAACATTTAAAATTAAAAATCTTAACATCTTAAGAATGGATAAATTGATACTAAAATAAAAGTTTGGTTTCTAAATTGATTTAAAAGTTTATTTTAAACTAAATTGACATTTATCTTAATTTTGAGGACTAAACTGATATTTAATCAAATTTTAAAATGCAGAGCCCAAACGCATCACTACCCTATAACTGACGAGATGAGGAATAAAATACAAATAAATAGTTTAAGAAAAACGGACATTATGTCTTCTCATAATTTCAAGGCTCCCCTAAACTATCTGAAATTTCGATGAGGGCACTACGCAGTGCATACATACACTATATATATTGACTTCATTCCTTCCCTCTCTCTCATTGCTCCTCCTCACAATTCTCCGTGACTTCTCTCTGTTTCCTTGTCTTGGTCTTTTTCTCTCTGTATCAGGAATTTGCATTTTTCGCACCGGGCTGCTTGATCTCTTGACCTGAATTGGATTTGTAAGTTAAGCTTCCTTTTATTTGTTAAATTATGATTTGGGCAGGTTGGATCTTGGGCTTTTGTTATTGTTTCACGCGTTTTCTGATTGTGATCTGGGTGTTTCTCATTTTTGTTAGATCTGTCGCTAAAGTTGATGAATTTTTTTCTTCTGTTCTGCTATTTAGCTTTGGTTAATCTGCATTCGTTGCTTAATTCAATCTGGATCTCTGCATTAGAGAAACTTCAGCTTGGTAATTTTATATTGCATATCATATGGATATGATAATTTTGTTCAATTGGCCTTTGCTCGGATTTGTTGGCTTTTGTGTTGGATCTGTTATTAAATTTGTATTGGATCTAGTAATTTTGGATGGATCTTGATTTTATTAATGTTCTAAACTGGGAATCATTTGTTTAATGCCATTTGTTGTCCAAGTGGAATTCCTTCTAGTTATGATTGGACAGAGAAATGACGAAGCAAGTTTGAAATTTGAGGCTTTTTGACTGATAAAATTTTTTTCTTAGGCAGGTTTGAATTAGAAGCTCTAATCATGACACAGTAATTTCATTGGGTTTTCTTGAATTGACTCAATTGTTCATGGTATTGAAACAAATTAGGATTAGATAGATATCCTTTTTATTTTCTTTTGTTTTTTCAACAAATATCTGAAACTTTCTTTAAAAAAGTGAGAGCGAATATAATTGTTATATTCATCAGGGTTCACAATTCTCCCTTTTAATCCTCAGATCTATACTTTGTTTTCTTCTTATGTAAGTAGGATAAGGCCTATGCTATTTGGCTGTTATTTATCTTTATTTTTTCGAAATTGGAATTTTGTGGATCCTCATTTCTCTGGTTTACAGCATTTTTTTGCACATATATATATATGTATATTATTGTTGCCGCTCTCTGCATTTATTTTTCCTATATAATATGGATACAAGTAGTTCTGATATTTACTTATATTTTTTTCTGTGTAGAAATTGTTTTGGTATGGCTACATATAAGCCAAAGAACATACTTATTACCGGGGCTGCTGGCTTCATTGCATCCCATGTTTGCAATCGGCTTATCCGCAACTACCCTGATTACAAAATTGTTGTCCTTGACAAGCTTGATTATTGTTCAAATCTGAAAAACCTCCTTCCTTCAAAATTATCTGCCAACTTTAAGTTTGTCAAGGGGGATATTGGCAGTGCTGACCTTGTCAATTTCCTTCTCATCACTGAATCAATTGACACAATTATGCACTTCGCTGCCCAGACCCATGTGGACAACTCCTTTGGTAACAGCTTTGAGTTTACCAAAAACAATATCTATGGAACCCATGTTCTTTTGGAGGCCTGCAAAGTCACTGGCCAGATTCGGAGGTTCATCCATGTAAGCACAGATGAAGTATATGGTGAGACGGATGAGGATGCTGTTGTAGGAAATCATGAAGCTTCTCAACTCCTCCCAACAAACCCATACTCTGCCACAAAAGCTGGAGCAGAAATGCTTGTTATGGCGTATGGCAGGTCATATGGGTTACCTGTGATAACAACCCGTGGAAACAATGTATATGGTCCGAATCAATTTCCTGAGAAACTAATTCCAAAGTTTATCCTCTTGGCTATGGAAGGGAAAGCTCTTCCAATCCATGGAGATGGTTCAAATGTGAGGAGTTATTTATATTGCGAGGATGTTGCTGAGGCTTTTGAAGTCATCCTTCACAAGGGAGAGGTGGGTCATGTGTACAATATTGGGACAAAGAAAGAAAGAAGAGTGATAGATGTGGCTAAAGACATATGCAAGCTTTTCTCAATGGACCCTGAGACAAGCATCAAGTTTGTAGAAAACAGGCCATTCAATGACCAGAGGTACTTTCTTGATGATCAGAAGCTGAAGATCTTGGGATGGTCAGAGCACACTACTTGGGAGGAGGGGTTGAGGAAGACTATGGAATGGTACATTCAAAATCCTGATTGGTGGGGTGATGTAACTGGTGCCCTGCTTCCCCATCCAAGAATGTTGATGATGCCTGGTGGAAGACACTTTGATGGATCTGAAGAGAATAAATCTGCATCTTATGTTTCAAGTACTTCTAATCAGACCCGAATGGTCATTCCAGTTTCTAGGACTAGCAGTAGTGGCTCACCTCAAAAACCATCGATTAAGTTCTTGATATATGGCCGGACTGGATGGATTGGGGGTCTACTTGGCAATTTGTGTGAGAAACAAGGAATTCCTTTCGAATATGGTAGGGGGCGCTTGGAAGACCGATCATCACTTTTGGCAGATATTCAGAATGTTAAGCCAACCCATGTTTTTAATGCTGCTGGTGTTACTGGTAGGCCAAATGTTGATTGGTGTGAATCCCACAAGACAGAAACCATTCGCACCAATGTTGCAGGAACTTTGACATTAGCAGATGTTTGTAGGGAGCATAACCTCCTGATGATGAATTTTGCTACTGGCTGTATATTTGAGTATGATGCTATTCATCCAGAGGGTTCTGGCATTGGGTATACTGAGGAAGACAAACCCAACTTCACTGGATCATTTTATTCAAAGACCAAGGCTATGGTAGTTTTCTTTTCACAATCTCTTATTATATGTTTATTTTCATTTCAGGCTATAATGATTGTTAATGCATTTTCTTTGAATTTTCAACCAGGTTGAAGAGCTCTTGAAAGAATATGACAACGTATGTACCCTCCGAGTTAGAATGCCAATATCATCAGACCTAAACAACCCACGCAACTTCATTACTAAGATTTCTCGATACAACAAAGTGGTTAATATTCCAAACAGCATGACCGTCTTGGATGAACTTCTACCTATTTCCATTGAGATGGCTAAGCGGAACTTGAGAGGCATATGGAACTTCACAAACCCTGGTGTATGGACCCTGAGACAAGCATCAAGTTTGTAGAAAACAGGCCATTCAATGACCAGAGGTACTTTCTTGATGATCAGAAGCTGAAGATCTTGGGATGGTCAGAGCACACTACTTGGGAGGAGGGGTTGAGGAAGACTATGGAATGGTACATTCAAAATCCTGATTGGTGGGGTGATGTAACTGGTGCCCTGCTTCCCCATCCAAGAATGTTGATGATGCCTGGTGGAAGACACTTTGATGGATCTGAAGAGAATAAATCTGCATCTTATGTTTCAAGTACTTCTAATCAGACCCGAATGGTCATTCCAGTTTCTAGGACTAGCAGTAGTGGCTCACCTCAAAAACCATCGATTAAGTTCTTGATATATGGCCGGACTGGATGGATTGGGGGTCTACTTGGCAATTTGTGTGAGAAACAAGGAATTCCTTTCGAATATGGTAGGGGGCGCTTGGAAGACCGATCATCACTTTTGGCAGATATTCAGAATGTTAAGCCAACCCATGTTTTTAATGCTGCTGGTGTTACTGGTAGGCCAAATGTTGATTGGTGTGAATCCCACAAGACAGAAACCATTCGCACCAATGTTGCAGGAACTTTGACATTAGCAGATGTTTGTAGGGAGCATAACCTCCTGATGATGAATTTTGCTACTGGCTGTATATTTGAGTATGATGCTATTCATCCAGAGGGTTCTGGCATTGGGTATACTGAGGAAGACAAACCCAACTTCACTGGATCATTTTATTCAAAGACCAAGGCTATGGTAGTTTTCTTTTCACAATCTCTTATTATATGTTTATTTTCATTTCAGGCTATAATGATTGTTAATGCATTTTCTTTGAATTTTCAACCAGGTTGAAGAGCTCTTGAAAGAATATGACAACGTATGTACCCTCCGAGTTAGAATGCCAATATCATCAGACCTAAACAACCCACGCAACTTCATTACTAAGATTTCTCGATACAACAAAGTGGTTAATATTCCAAACAGCATGACCGTCTTGGATGAACTTCTACCTATTTCCATTGAGATGGCTAAGCGGAACTTGAGAGGCATATGGAACTTCACAAACCCTGGTGTGGTGAGTCATAATGAGATTTTGGAGATGTACAAGAGTTATATTGACCCCAGCTTTAAGTGGGTTAACTTTACACTAGACGAGCAAGCTAAGGTGATAGTTGCACCACGAAGCAACAATGAGATGGACGCGTCCAAGTTGAAGGAGGAGTTCCCTGAATTGCTATCAATCAAGGACTCTCTAGTTAAATATGTCTTTGAGCCAAACAAGAAAGTTTAAAGATAAAAGCGGCATTTGTGGGCTTGCATTTTGCATGATAAGTGGATCAGAGTATGCTAGCGTTTCAATTCTACAAGTTATTTACAATTAGATCATCTTATTATTTCTTCCACATAGAAAGTGAAGTTGATTCTATTAGGTATGCCTCTTCGATTTCTTCATCCCGAGTTGTATTTTAGTCTGCCTTTGTGCCTTCCTAGTTCCCACAGCAAACTTTCTATAGGTTCTTGATATTTGTGCGCAATCTGCAAACTTGCATTGCAGGTGTCTTTAAGACTTACAGTTTAGATATGTGCTTTTATTTTATTGTTTACTTTCTTTACTGCTTAGATAAGTTGTGGTGGTGTTGCCCTTATGATTTAAAGGAGTAGAACCATACGATTGAGCATTTTATCTTCCAATATTCATTTTCAGGTATATTTTGAGTAAAATGTTTCTTGTGTTTGTTTCGAGCGTCGTTGATGTAAGATTTTATCTCGTATGCCATCTACGATGATAAGTTCCAAGCTGAAGGAGCATTCTGAAATTCAAATTGGTCTGATTTACTGAATTCCCCCTCGAGAAGTGCAGAATTGAACTTATTTTCTTGTAAGTTCTCCTGTTTTCTAATAATGTGGTTCTTCCTGACAGGGAGAATTTCTACTTAACATTTGGATCACGAATCGTGGCACCCACTCCCAAGGCACCATTAATTTTTTCCCCTAACTTCAAATTATTTATCATTAGATATAAAACCGTTTTAGAAGTGGTTTGGGTTTTGGTTCCACTTTCTTTGAAGTCAGAATTGCGCAAAATTAGCTGTTTTGTTAGCTGTTAGTTAATTCAAACGTTAAAAAATAGCCTTTAGTATTTTGATCAAAGTTAGTTCAAATGTTTTGGTACCGAATACTATAAAAATAGCTTACGTTGTGTTATCGAATATTATAAAAAATAACTTTTATATTTTGACGAAAGCTAATTCAAACGTTATTACCGAATACTATAAAAAATAGTTGACCAGTCAAAACGTTAAGTTTTGACGAAAGTTAATTCAAACGTTATTACCGAACACTATAAAAAATAGCTGACCAGTCAAAATATTAAAAGCTACTTAAAAAGGTGTCAACAAAAAATAATTATCCATCCAACCAGATGAACTACCACGTTATTATAATTATAATAGGAGAACAAGTTAATATTAGAAAATATTTTTGAAAGAAATATTAGTTTTTTCAAATATATTTTTCGGAGAATTCAATTTTTTTTATTTGGTTGTAATATTGAAATATAGTTAATAATACTAAAATATTTCATTTGTGAGGTTAAAAGTATTTAGCATCATAAAAATTTTATAATTTAAAAACTTATTATTAAATATGAGAAAAAAAAAATATAAAGAATGATAATTATGTTAGTTGTGTTTATGATTGACACTAGTGATTGGTGGATTAGTAAATATGTACTATTATGTTATAGTAAGTTTTTTGATATTTAAAAGCCTTAATGTATCAAAGTACATAAACTTTGTAGCGCAATTTCATTATATTTTGACATTTTTGTCAACTTTAACCCAAAGAAAAGTAGCAGATGAGAGATTCCACGAAGCCAGAAAGAGCAACTTAACTAAGAGATGCTAGTCCTCGATAAAGCCAGTAGCTAGAGGTAAGGTTCCTTTTATGAAAGAACCGGGAGAGAGAGCTTCCAGGAATGGTTCCTTTCCGTCAAGGGTGTAGCAATAGCACTTAAGGATGAAATTATAAATAAAAAATATTTCAATTCTTTTTAAAATTAATAATAAAAATAAAATTTCTTCTGAATAAAAAATTATTTTCATATCTAGTGACTAGTGAGTGCCCATTTATAAATTTAGAAATATGATATTTGAAACATGTGGAATTAAAATAATTAAGAAATTATATATATATTTTTATTAAATGAATAATAATTTACCTATGTCATCAATTCAAAAGATAACTACAAGTAGAATTTTCATCCTTAAAGTATAAGATAATATGAAACAAATAATGGAAATATGATATTTTTCATCATTGTGGGAAAGGACTCTCAAACTCTTTATAAAATATAAACTTTTTTAGAATTAACACACACTTCAGAAGCCTTATCTTTCTCTTATTAAAGGATGAATATATGTTCTAAGTTCCTTTTAAGATCTATACATATATATCCATTGAAGGTAATGACAAAAGGAGCATATTCATGAAAATTAAATGGAGAATTGCTAATAAGTCTCAGATAATATTCCTATTGTATATACTTTCTTTTTTTTTTTTTTTTTTTTTGTTTTGAATATATGTTCTAAGTTCCACCTTTTAACGATCTATACATGATATATCTCATATGACAAGGGTAATAGAAAAATGGAGCATATTGCATGAAAATTTAGAAATGGAAGAATTGCTAAATAAGTCTCAGATAATATTCCTATTTGTAGTATACTTTTCTTTTTTTTTTTTTTTTTATGTTTTTTATGTTATTTGCTTTCAAGTTATATACTTTCTTTTTTTTTTTTTTGTTTTTTGTTTTTGCTTTAAGTTACTAATATATTTAAATTGCAGGACTGAAATTCTTCACATTAAATGACTACAACATTCAATTTGTGTGTTACTTTTTGTGTATTAACCTGCAAATCTCCTTGGCCTTTCTCATTATTGCATCATTTCAAATCTTAAAACTGCTCCACGGTTGTTATTAACTGTTAAAATAATTCTTTTTTATTCAATATTTATTTTTCAAATTATTAATTGGTTTCTTTTCTTTTATGGTTTAACTTTGATGGTTACAGTTGTGGGCTACATATAAGGAGAGAAGAATTGAATTCTTTCTTTGCCTGTCCAGTTTCCACCCATGCCAAAACAATCCTTCTCTCTGTGGACTTGAGAGAATTAATTAGATGTGAAGACTTATATAATCAATCATACAAAACCCATATTTCGTTTTCTCTAATTTAGCTTTATATAGACCATTTGGCTTAATGGGATTGTATTTTTGAGCCCGTCAAACGACAGGATTTGATAGGGAGAGAGAGAAGAGAGAATCCCTAGAAAATCACCTACCATGGAAGGTAATATTGTGTACTTTTTAGCAATCTAATGATATGTCACATCCACGGTCTAATTCCGAGAGACCCGACTGATCTGTAACTCTCACTATCTAATTTCGAGAGATTCGACGGCGGATGCCACATTCGGTGCCGGAAATATCGTCCTAACTGACATAAAGATCATGTAATCATATTACGAATTAGAAGTGATTTAGTATTCACAAATTTAACAAATGATATTTTGTTATTTAAAATATATATTTATTTTATGAAAAATAATTTGGGAAGATCTTACAGAAAAAACTGCAAGAGTTTTTCGAAAAAACTTGGCTCACCAAAAATGTGAATACCAGATCTTTTAAAGAAAAAACACTGCAAGTAGTTTTTTTCGAGAAAAATTGGCTCACACAAAATGTGAATACCAAAACACTCCAACACAAATTTAACAAATGATATTTTGTTATTTAAAATATATATTTATTTTATGAAAAATAATTTGGGAAGATCTTACAGAAAAAACTGCAAGAGTTTTTCGAAAAAACTTGGCTCACCAAAAATGTGAATACCAAAACACTCCCAAATTCAAACTCCAAACTCCTAACAACTCAAAATAAACAACACTATACAATTACACTTCTATAACTTCTTAACTTTATACCTCCTCATTAGTATTTTAATATTCATTAATTAAATGCATTCATTAAATATATATCAAGTCCTAATGATCTAATCATGCCAACTATATTAAAAATATCAAATCAAAAAATATGTCTCATGCTTATCTCCAAATATATATCATATATCATATATCATATATACACCAAAATAATTTACAATAACATACTTGAGTCATATATCAAATAACATAGTCTCCAAAAATATAATACTTATACATGCCATAATTCTTAGTTATATAAAATACTAAATCAACTATCAAAATAATCTCTTTAGCTTTGATGCTACTCTTTAGGTCTTTAAGCAGCAAACACTGTCTTCAACCTGTGCTTGATTTGAGTATAAAACTCAGTGGTGCTCATAAATCACAAACATACTAATATTGTAATGACAACATACTTAAAACATAAATTTCATAAAATCATTTACAATCATAGAATCATTCAATTTCAACATGCATTAACATTTATAGCATAAGAAATGTCAAATAAACTTACAATTAATACCATAAATAATTTAAACTAAACTAAGATTTACTAAAATAATGCAATCTCATTAATTTAATTTCCTTAAAAGTATTTTTCAAGGGGCTCGCATACACTTAGGAGAAAAAGAAGCAGATAAGTTTTTATAACTTATTCATAATGGCCTTATATGCCAACTTATCATAACATATAGAGCGCGTCTACCCTAACATAACACACCCACGTGCCTAGCATATGATCATAGCTTCTTATCATAATGACATCAAATGCTGAGCATGCTCATCTTACATAATAAATCAAACATGCAACAAATTCACACAAAGTATATTAGAGTCCAAAATCCTTGTTTTATTTCTTAATTCATAACATTTCTCATAAAATTCATTTTCTTTAGTCTTCTTAAAATCATAATGAAAACTTAATTTAAACCTAAGGAATTCATGAAAATTCTATACTTAGTCACAATTACTTATCATAGGAAAAATTGGTCTTAAACTCATTTCTTTTAAAACTTTTCTTAAAGTCATAATAAGATTTATTATGAATAAAACCTTATCCATTAAATCATATTTTCCTTATGCAATTCAAAGCACATATACTTAACAACACCCATTTCTCATAAACTTTAGAACATAGGAAAATTATCAAATGTATCATACTTATAAAATCTAAATATATATAGCATGACATGGAAGGTCCAACATCACATAATGAGTGAAAATGTAAGTCTTACCACCCTCGGGTGGTTCGGCCTCTTCATGAAAACCAAGGGGAGGAGGTTCCTCCTTCATTAAGCATGCCAACACAACTCTTATACACCCAAATGACCATTTACAACCTCATCATGCATTATCTAAACCAAAACCATATTTTTCCAAATTTCAGCTTACTTTAGTCATGAAAAAGAATATGAAAGACAAAAGATACAAGGTAGAGATTTCTACCACATACTAAATACTCAAAAATTTCCGCTTACAAATTTCAGCTTACTTTAGTCATGAAAAAGAATATGAAAGACAAAAGATACAAGGTAGAGATTTCTACCACATACTAAATACTCATCAAACATCCTTTTAAGAGCATAAACTAACAAAGAAAACAAGAAAAACTTAAGGCCCTTTTCCTTAGTAGGTTCGGCCTGTCTTGGGAGAAGAAGAGGAAAATTTTTTCCACTTCAATCAAACATGTAGTCATACTTAGAAATCACCCAAGAGCATGTTTATACAACCAA